CCTCCTGCTCCTCCTGCTCCTCCTGCTCCTCCTCCTCTTGTCTGATGGTGCACCCCACTAACTCCACATCTCACTCCGTGGTTTGATCATGCAACCAGGTCTCTGTTAATCCCAGGCTGCTGTTGCCTGTCTGGTTGTTCACTGAGACTGGCGGGAAAACGCTGGTTTATTAGCGCTAGCTGTTAGCTTAGCTCTTACACCGCTAGTTTCTACCATGCTATAGTCTGCTACCAGTAATAAAATCCTTGCTAGCTACTGCTAGCTAGAGAGCTGCAGGCTCAGCTTAGCGCTCTGCTACCTTTCACAATAAAAGCCTCTACTTCCTGATCTTCTGTCTGAATCTTCATGGTCAGAATCAAGCATCTGACGCGTCCAGGTCTGCTGAGGTCCAGCAGCAGGTTTCTGCTGACAGGAACAGACGTAGAACTGAGGGAACCTCAGAGGCTTCAGGCCGTCTGAACGCTGATGAAGGTTCATCCTCCTCATCCTCCTCCTCTGTAGATGAAAAAGGCCAAACGGAGGCTGACGGTGGATCCGGTTGATTTCCTGCTGGGCTGGGATCCCTCCACCACCTCCAGAACTCCACAGGACCAGGTAGGTTCTGGACCACGACCAGTAGAACCAGTTCTAAAGAAGCAGATGATCCAAGCTTCAGGTCTGAGCTCAGATTGGGTCAGATTATGGGCCAGTAATGGTTTCAGTGAGTTAATCTGGAGTCTAGATTATTCTGATCCGGTTCCTAACCGGGTCGGTCACCAACGCTCTCCCCCCTCAGGCCTCAGTCTCTCATGACATCACAGACTCTGACGGCGGTCTGAGGGAGCCGATGCTCTGCGACGCTGACGTGGCGGCCATCTTTCAGCACGGCGATCTGGACCCGGAGATGAGTCCGCAGAACGGTAAGGAGACTGTTCCCCGAGCGGCCGCCCGCCGGCGTCCACAGGTCAAAGGTCAGGCCTCTGCTTTGTTTTCTCCAGATGACACCGGGTCGGCGGAGTACCGGACCGGCCCGTCCCGCTCCGTGTCGCGCCTCAGCTACTCGTCCTGCGGCAGCGGCAGCTTGGCGGGTCTGAGGGGCTGCAGCAGCTACCTACCCAGCCTGGAGCACTCAGAGGCCGAGGACGAGCCGCTCCACCAGAACCGCTTCTACCAGCGCCATCCGGGCTCCCAGGAGAGCCTGAACGCAGCCAGCGCCGCGCCGCAGGTTAGTGGCGGCCTTCAGGCAGCAGGTGGCGCTGGTTCGGCTTTGGTCCAGTTATCCAGTTCTGATGCTTCTAGAACTGGGTTCCATAATTACAGTATTCTGATATTAATAATCCAATAATCTGTAATACTGTAGTAATAACAGCCATCGACCCGGAACCAGAACCAGCTGGTTCTGGTTCCCACCTCAACCTGAACACCATCAGACGGGTCAGAGAGGAGGTTCTGCTCCAGCATCTGGACCTGCTGCAGACCCAGCAGAACGTGCAGAACCTCCTGATGATCTACATGCAGAGAGCAACACAAGCTGTGAAGCATGGCGGTGGCAGCATCATGCCGTGGCCCTGCAGAGTGGGAATGGGTTCTGGGAGTCTGCTGGATCAGGGTCCCAAACCCGCTTTCCGGTTCTGAATCAGGGGTATCTCCTCCTCAAAGTGAGCAGAACCCAGTCAGAGTTCTGGTTCCGCTGTGGGAACAGATTCCTGATTCTCCTGTTGGACCGGAACGTCCGTCTGAGTGATGAAGAGGAGGCAGCTGCCAGATCATTACATCATCGTCTGATCGTGGCTCAGCGTCTGACCCGACCCGACCCGCTGCTGGTTCTGCTGGGTTCATGTCAGGGTCCAAACATCACAGGAATGCAAACAGATCAGCTAACGGCGGCTAACAGTCCGCCAGCTGCTCTGCACAGCGACCCAAACAGGAAGCCGGCGTAGAACCCGCAGCTTCCTCTGGCTGCCGAGGTCTCCTGTCCTCAGACGACGATCTGGAAGCGGTTTAATCCAGCTGCAGGAAGCAGTGAGGCTGCACTGCAGTCCTGTTGGCTGACGACCCACAAGGACCCAGATGGACCCAGGAGGAACCAGGAGGACCCAGGAGGAACCAGATGGACCCAGAAGGACCCAGGAGGACTGAGACCTTAAAGCAGGAGCTGAATTCAGGCCTGCAGACCCAGCAGAACCAGGTTCTGGTTCAGCAGAACCTGGTTCTGGTTCAGCAGAACCTGGTTCTGGTTCAGCAGAACCTGGTTCTGGTTCAGCAGAACCTGGTTCTGGTTCAGCAGAACCTCTGGACACCAGGATTGCTCCATGGAGAACATCATCTGGAGCTCTCTGAAGGCTCCAGGTCTCCATGGAAGCTGTGGGTCGGTGTTGGACCGTGGTGGGCTGAGGTTCTGGTGGGTCGGGTTTAGATCCAGACGCCTTAACGGTCATTTTTCTGCCTTTTCTAGATCAGCGATCTGGACAGACGGATGTCAGCTGTGGAGAACCTCCTAAACCGCCTGGAGCAGAAGGTGACATCATCAAACAGCAAGGTAACCCTCGGGGGGGCAAAGATGGAGGCTGCTTCTTCTCTGCTGGGAGGTTCAATGGATGCAGGCCGGATCAGTGGAACCTAAACTAACATTCAAAGGATAATTTCTCTATTCTGAGAAAAGGATTGATAGGCTGCCCCCTGGTGGTGGAAGAGGGGATTGTTATCTTCAGGTTCCTCCATGGAGATGATTCCTGTTTCTGATTATGACTCAGACACCAGACAGCCTCAAACGATCACAGAGCCGCTAATTAGAAAAACCTTCAAACATCTGAGCTGCTTTGATTCTCTGCCATGATGGAGCTCCTCCTACAGCTGCTCCTCCTGC